AGGAACTGATCGTGGACTTCAGGAAGACCAGGAAACACTTGACCCCTGTTTCAATCCAGGGGGTCAGTGTTGACATTGTGGAGGACTATAAATACCTTGGAGTACACATTGACAATAAACTGGACTGGGCTAAAAACACCACAGCACTTTACAGGAAGGGCCAGAGTCGTCTCTATTTTTTGAGGCGACTGAGGTCCTTCAACATATGCCAGAAAATGCTCAGGATTTTCTATGAGTCTGTTGTGGCCAGTGCGATCCTCTATGCTGTTGCATGCTGGGGGACCAGGCTGACGGTCACAGATGCCAACAGACTTAATAAACTAATCCGTAAGGCCAGTAATGTTGTGGGGATGGAGCTGGACTCCCTCAAGGTGGTGTCAGAGAGGCGGATGCTGTCCAAGATAAAGACAATGTTGGATAACACCTCCCACCCACTCCATGACATGCTGGTCAGTCACAGGAGCACGTTCAGTGGGAGACTGAGATTACCGAAAAGCACCACTGAACGACACAGGAAATCTTTCCCGCCTGTGGCCATCTCCCTGTACAACGCATCCACTTAACACACTGTTTGCTGCTGCAACTACACGTTTCTTTTCCAGCTATTTATTTATGAGTGACTTATGTATATATATATGTATATATTGTACTATTCTTAGTTAGTGTATTGTCTGTCTTGTCTTAATGTTGGTTTATAATGGAGCACTGTAACAAAAAATAATTTCCCCCAGGGATCAATAAAGTATTCTGATTCTGATTGATTCTGATTCTGTTATTAAATATGAACATGTAATAATACAGTAATGGAAATACATTAATAATAAATGTTGTTTTAATAACAGGAGTGTTATGCAGTTTCTAATGTACTGAAGGGACACACTCTAACACGTATGTAATAAAAAACGGTTATTAAATTCAGCGCGTACACATGAGCCCCAAAACAATCCCATTGTTCATTATTATGTAATGCTTTAATTCTCCTAGGGCCACAAAGTTGTAAACCTGGATTGTTTCTTATATTACTTCAGTCCCAGTGTGTTTTACACCATCAGACACTACACTGCTATCTCTCCGCCTGAGTTAAAGTCTGCTTTAGCTCCTTGCTGATCCTACTGCTATTTCCAGCTTTGTGTAATCCTGCTGCAGCTCCTACATATAAGTACTTACACCAAGAGGATAAGAAGGCCCAGCTCACAGGTTAAAAAACACTGTACATCTCATGTGAGTGTAAGCCAATGATGGCTAACAGCTCTTTACCTGTCTTCAGTTTTGGCTTCCTATATTGCCATATGAAGCAGCAGGTCATGACTACAGAGAGCAGAAAGAAGACAATCATGCCAAACATGGTCCATTTCACCTTCATCTTCTTTAATGGTTCTTACAGACAGCAGGCAAAGCCTATAAAAAAGTTGTACAAATGTTTTAGTGATTTTCTTTTTTATCAGATATTGAATCCAACATAAAACTCATAGCTCAAATGCATGCTAGTATGTTTCATGCCATTTGAAAATTTAGTCTCATGTCTTTTTTGTGTTGCCATATAAAAATGTCCCTGAACATGAGTTGCATTAGAGATTGATTAGCTTACCAATGAAGTGAAAAGACGCCTTCCTCAGAAGCCCCTCATTATCTCTATGATATTCTTCATCATCAGACTAGAAAAATCCACCAATTATTTTCCTTAAGGTACACAGAAGAAAAGTCAGCAAGGCCGCTTGATCCTCTGTTGCTCATGAGCAGTTACTGGCCATCTACTACATGCACTTAATCCTGACTGTTATCCCGAGCTCCAGTAAGAGAGTGGAATCTATTCCTACTTTACCATGACGTCATAATCTACAGGGCTACACCACTAAACGTAAGGAAGGCTGTGGAATCGAAACCTCTTGAACCCTCACCCTCTGAACACTTCCTGTTGATTCTGCAAGAGAGCTATTTTCAGCAGCAACAATTTGAGTAAATTAAGTAGTCAGAACAATGTTGAAGAATTTGTATCATTTTTGCATTTTAAATAAAACACAAATCAGTGACTACAGCAACAAATAATTCAAATGTGAACGAAATGAATCAGAATGGTGCCTCTCCAAGCCACTAGAAGGCGCTGTGGACTTTAAATAAATGCTATTTACAGACAGACATATGTCTTTAATAGATATATGGCTAGATGTGCAATAATAACAGTGTGCAATACACATACACTTATTCTTCTTTTTTATACTAAGTTAATATACTGTGTTGTGTTGTTTGTTACGTTGTGATGTGTCATATCGTGTCGTGTTGTGTTATATGTAGTGCCGACGTAGGACAGTTTTTCCAATTTCATTGTACTACTGTACTATGTATGACTGTGCAATGACAATAAAGAGTTATCTTATCTTATCTTATCTTATCTTAGATAGGCAGGCCTAACCTGTGCAAAGTGGGAACACTGTGTAAAATGTAAATATACATAGAAGCTACACCTTTCCGAGATGCTCTTCTTTTACTGTTGTCAATGAATCTAATTTGTCCCTAAGATTCTCCAGCTGTTTCTTTTTAGTACCATGTACTTTTCCAGCCTTTTGTTTCTTCTGTCCAAACTTTCTTGAGAGGTGTTGCTGCCATCAAGTTCCAAAAAATGTTTGTATTCATTTTAAAGTTCATCATCGCACAGAGACAGCATCAGTGAACGCTAGAAATGATCCTTTTGTGACCTACAATGCAGACTTGATTTTATAATCTCTCCAACTTGTTCTGTGTCTGTCCTAAGGCCTCCTTCCTCCTTCCTTCTCACAAATTAACCAGGCTAGGGGAGGTGACCCCTCCCCTAGCCTGGTTCTGGATCAAGGGAGATCTTCCTTCCAGACAGCACCCTGTACTTGCTTGCAGGGGATCTTGTGACTTTTGGAGTGTACCTTACAGTAAAAACACCTTGAAACAGCTGCTGTTGTGAATTGGCTTTTGGTAATTCAACTAAATTGAAATTAAATTGTTTGCAAATTATTCCACTCTGTTATTTCTTATTATTTGAAAGTCTTTCAGGAATGGGCTTCCTATAATGCCACCCTACCTCATGAGCCATAGAGGTTTTAGTTTTTGTCTCGTTGTTTTTAAAAATGATCCACCACTTTCTGCACTGCTCTGCTCTGCTCGCTGGGACCCCAACAGTGAGAGCAGCCAAAGAAAGGCACCAGCTTTACTGACCCATAAGTCAAGATAGATTATTTCTGATTGGATCGCTGATGGTGTGTCTGACCTACAATCTGCTGCATTCCCATTGCTGTCTCCCTGGGCATAGGTTTCCATAGGAACAAGCCGTAGGCTCCTCTAATCTGTTGTTTTGCAGCTCTCACTCATCTGGAGGCAGGCTGGATTCCTTTTTGTCATGCCCATATTCTTCTGCTCTATTTCCTCACTGAGCTCTATCTCTTTTTCTCTCTTGCTTTACTGGCAGCGCTATCCCTTTCTCACTCTCTGTTTTTCCCTCTCCCTTAGTCTCTTTCATCCACTGCAGTCTTATCTTAGGGAATGTCTCAGACAGGTCGGCTGTGGAATCTCTATGGACATGATAGCAGTGCAGCTTGCAACAAAGCTATTATTGAGTTCTCAATGACAAAAGGACCAAATAAAACATGTCCTCATATCACAGGTTAGTTGTGTTTTTTACTTTAATTTGTTTCATTTATACTCATCCAGTCCAAATAACACATCTGAAATATATCACATGTAGGGTGAAAAGACTAAATTTTTAAACGTTATTTTCCAGTGCTATGTAGAAAGGCCAAAGATTGCATCCATAACATTTAATGGATTTATAAATCTAATAAAGCATTAGCATCAAAAGCATTAACTCTCTCAGGCTCAAATTAAGTTTTTGTTGCTTATGCACAAAAGAATACCTGCAGTGGTACTTCCGAGTAAAAAAAACTCATAAAATATGTATGTGGGGTAATCAGGTTGTTAGCTTTTAACTGTTGCAAATCTGCAACGCCTGCCTTGAGAGGGTTAAAAAGTTGGTACAACAGCCTCTTGTCTTAGAATCCAATTAATTTCAGTTCAGGTTTTATATCACCAGTTCACATCACAGTTGTGAACTGGTGACAGTTATTTTAGGATGCAACAAGCTAACAATGACTTAACAGTCCTAGGAAGGAGGAACTCATTTTAACATTAAGAAACCTCCAGGTAGACACAGGCTCAGGGAGAAACAGCCATCTTGGGGGTTAGGGCCAAGAAAGGAAAGAAAAGAAGGTTGAAGAGAAATGACAAACCGCAAACTAGAAAGAAAAAAACAGTACTGGAGTAGAGCTAGGTCTGACAACGACAATTAATAAGTGGGCCCACAACAATAACCTACAATAACATGATCGCCAATTTTATTTGCTGGTTAAAGTTGCTGTGAAATCATTTCTGAATAACATTCCTCAGTGTACAATTGTACAAAGACTTTGAGTTTCTCATCATCTCGGGATGAATAAAATATTATCAATCAATCAATCAATCTGCAATACACAATATCATTAAAAAAGAATTCTAAATATCTACAATGAAACAAGGCTGAAAATCAGATTGGATGCTATATTCATTTCCTCAGTTTAAAACTTTTTTGGTGTTCTGTAGTGAATAAAATATCAGATCTGCAAATTAGCGCAGGAGTGCAGTGTTGCTACTTTTTGGGATGGGGTTGGTAATTGCTACTATGCTAAAAACACTGGCTTCATTCCTTGAGTTATGTGTAGGTTAGTGTTAAGTGACGTAATAAAAAATTTGCTTAGGTACAAAGATTGTGCTGACACTGAAAGGTAAAGAAAGGTCTTTCAAAGCGTCTTCACTGGCAAATATAACATCTAATAATTTAGGTTAAAAATTAAAACAGGCAAGTGTAATAATAAATTTCAGTAAAAGCACTTTCCTCCGACGGAAATGCATATTAATGCCTATTCACAATTAACCCTGGTGGCCTTGTTTTGAAAAAGAAACAAAAAACCCAAACCCTTGTGTCCAGTCAGGCGCAGCCGATGTTGTGTGTTTTTCCGCTGCTTTTCTGCCCCCTCTTTTTTGGTTTCGCCCAACCTGGCCTGAACAGCAGCGCTTCAGCCTTTATCTTGGTGCCACTGATGATGATAAGGATGCTTCTCTCCATCTCTAAATGATTTCACAGGAAACCGACCACAGCTGTACGGCTGCGCGATGAATACACTGGCTTTTAACAGGCATAAGTCTGGAATATCTGTGATTATGGACATCTTGTACTTTCTATGGATGCTGCCGTCGGTGTGGGCTGTCGAAGGTAAGCTGGAATTCGACTCTTAACTGAATCTAAACGCTTGAACGGAGCCGAGCTGTGAGCGAAGGGACGACAAAGCGCCATCATTAATTTACCAAAAAAAAAAAAAAAAAAAAGCCGACTATGCGTATTTTAACCTCATTTAAGGGAGCAGTCTAGAGGAAATCTCCGAGGTGTTGTTTGGATGGAGCTCTACAGCTTTCACTATACCGAGAAAGATTAAAGCTGCAAATATGTTGGTAGTCGAGGCAGAATTTAATCAGCTTCTCTGGCCTTTATTCTTATCTGGCATCAAAGGCCATATACACAGTCTCATTTTCTGTATCCTTGTTGTTGTTATCATTACTGTTCTTATTATTTATCTTTAATTTAACTGACATTCCTTTTGCTGCAATCATTAAGTACAATATGTTTGGTCAGGCAAATACTTTCCAGTCCCACAACTTCAATTTCTTGTTTCCCTATTTGTAAGTACAGTAAGAATAAGAAATATTTTATTCATCTAAAGGTTGACAAGATCAATTACATAAATACCCAGTATTTCTCATCAAAATTTTATTTTAAAGAGGAAAAACAGTTAAAGTCAATGTAGGAGAGAAACCACTTTTATAAGAGAAAATAGTCTAGCCTGAGATAAGACAGGGTTGGCCTAGTCCACTGCAGGGGGACTTTATAAGTTTGCTCACTTGCCAATAAAATGAACAGTCTGTAATTGTTATGGTATTTTCATTTTCTTGCAGAGAGACAGAATATAAACTATACATTAAACAAACAAAAAACGTATTTAGTCCCCTACAACTCAGCAAGAACTCATGCTCCCATGGGATTGACACTGTGCCCATGTGGCACCCAGATTACATTCAATTCAAATTTATTGAGGTAGTCCCAAACCACAGCAACAGTCGCATCAATATCAATATTGTATATTGTACGATAAAGACCCTACAATAATACAGGGAGAAAACCCAACAATTATGACTCCCTTTGAGGACAGAGCACAAGTTGAAAAACTCAGTATGTCTCCAACTGCTGCACCTGTAAGAAAAAACACATACAGAAAACAAACAGCGCCTGAAAGGAAATAAAAGAAAAAAAAACATAGATGCACAAACAAACAATCTTGTTGTGTTCTGAATGTGTGTGTCTGTCAACAAATATACTTGGTAATGAGGGTGAGAAGCTGCATCCACACCTCCCAGAATACAGAGGCAGACAGAGACCCAGGTGACCAGGGTGCAGCCCCCATAGTACTGAAGACCCGAGGCCACACATCTCGATGACAACTGCGTGCACATCCCAGCAGGAGAAGAAGGGACAACCCACATGGGGCCCTCATGTCCAAAGAGCAAGAGAACCAGAAGCAATGGTGGGCAGACCACTCTGACAGAGGCTGGCCAACTCAGCATAAGCCGAGTTAGGTACCCGAGAGCTGCCCAGCACCCAGCAAGTTTGCCAGTGAGTGTTTAAAGGATTCAATGAAGCCTTGAGAGAGTGTTGTGTTGTGATGAGATGAAACTGAATCGAGACATTATAAAGTCATATTTTGCTTGTTGATCAAATAACAGTAACACAGTAACGCGCAAATCCACTTATAACATCTGTGTAATGTGTTTTCTACATTTTTGGTTAATATTCTATCTCTCTCCATTAAAATTAAACTAGTATGAAAAAGTTAATTTCTTTGTAAGTGAGCAAACCTAAATAATACGGAAGGATTTAAATAATATAATAATTATAATTATTGTGATAATTTTATTCCCCACGCGAAGAACATCATGGGACTTCTAGCTGCCTGATCCTATAACACTATTACTAAGGAATGGTTCAGAGTCATCTGATCCAGCTCTAACTATGAGCTTTATCAAAAAGGATAACGCTAAGTGTAATATTAAAATTAGAGACAATGTCTAACTCTCAAACATAAACATTCAATATTTCAGTCAGGTTTTAAAGCATTTCACAGTACAAAGTGTATAAACTTTTTTGGGATAATGTCAGTGTTGGAGCTGCCATCGTCCTCATTCGGCACAGTTGGTTGAGCTTGTTAATGAAGTGTCTCATCCAGATGAGCGAAGATGGTGATGAGGTGTTTGGAAATGTTGTAAGTGGCTGAGTTTATACTGCTAACAATAGGTCTTCCAGGGACTCCTTCTTTGTGGCTCTTCAGAAGTTAATATGTGCAGGGTATAGGCTCCCCAAAGTAAAGTTAGTTTTTAGGGTGGTCAGTGGCTTTTTCTCTTTCGAGTGTTTGCAGATAGGCTTTCGTTAAGACTTTAAGTATTACTGTCACTGAGGACTGTGGCAATTTTGTTGTGATAACCAGCTGAGTTAAGAACAACAGTACACCTTCCCTTATCAGCTGCTAGTAGGTTGATGCTGTGGTTTTCACTCAGGATGTGAACACCTTACCTGAATGTTGAGGTTGGATGGAGGAACTTTTGCACTGGGCAGGGCAGGTTGCTCCGCTTTAGGTTGTGTTAGTTTAGTAACCCTTGAGATGCTCCACCTTTTGTTATTAAAACTGAAGAAGTCTATTGAATGAAAGGGCTAAAGAAATCCAGTCCCCTTCTTTTTTTCAAGCTCTTAAGACTACCATGGCCAGGATGACTGGGAACAGGCACAGACAGTACAAAATACAAAACAAAACACAAAGAGCAGCTACCTAAACTTTACTTATTCGATGTCTTGTTAACAGTGTCACATTCTGTACAACCCTAAATACTGGATACTTTCTTTAAAAATGAAAGCAAAAAAATGAAAAATGTTTGACCCCCTGGCATAACGCAAAAACACGTACCTTAAAGCAGATAACAGGAGTGGAGAGGAAATGGCCTTGCACTTCTTTAGAAGATCTTCATTTGGTCTGAAAAAATAGTCTGTGACTCTTAAAAAAAAGCCATCCATAAAACTAGGACATCTTGCTATTTGTCACTGCTCAAGGATAACACAGATTGCTTTTCACCTCAGCAGCCAATCTGACAAAGAGTTGGAGCTCTGTTGAGCCAAGTATTCCTTTAATCTTAACTATGTCTGTGTAGGTACTCTGCAATCCAGGTCATGGTATTCTTGGGAGATTGAAGTCAGGTCAAGATGAGAAACTCACTGTAATGACAAGCATTCATGAAAAAGATTCTCCGGTTTGTTGGTGTTAAGAAATTAGTTTGTATGTGATGACTTACATAGGAGGTTATATAATTGTTGGGGTTTTCTCTGTTTCCATGGTATTATTGTTGGGCCTTGTGGTGGAATTAAGGCACGATGGGACCACAGATCCATGTTTTGAGCCATCTTTATTTAACATTTGCATCACACCACCACAACCCCACACCAACCCCTGAGTCCCCGTGTTTTAACATGGCGGGCGTGATTGCGGATGCCGTGCAGGTGCGTCCGCATGGCACCGCAGACCACCTTGAGGTCTGGAGTTTGACACGCCTGCTCTATGACTTCATCAGTCTCTCACATTGTCGAGGAACTTTAGCCTACTCTTCATTATGTTGCTTTAGTTCATGGCTGCTTTACAGTTCGTATGCACGAATATGTGTGTAAAAAATACTGACAGATGTTTCACATGCAAATCAGTGATTTGTCAATATTTTTCATAGGGATCTGTGGATTTATCTAAATATCCATAGTATCAATAATTCTGGCAGCAGTATCGGATCCATAATAGAATCAGTGCTTTAGTTTGTCTCCTCTTAAGGTAAGTGTGTTGTTCCACTCATCAATATAGCAGACATGTCTGTGAAAACACCCCTTTTCTCATAAAGGCACACTTTGCTCAGCTCCCTACTTTCCTGTGTGTAGTTGTCCTGCTGTCATGTGACTCGTTAGCAATGAGTGAGTACACAGGTACTTCACAGGTGTGTACTAATTTTCACACCTGAATTTGTTACTAATTTACAAACAAACTCAGGGTTCTGTTGCCAGCAAAACAAACATTCAGCAAATTAAAGCAAATATTTAGTTACATGTTGCTTTATATTTTGTTATGTTGCAGATTAAGTCATTTGTGCATACTTACTTGGTGCTTTGTTTTCAATTTTCATGTAGGTCAGGTGTGGGGAAAGGCCTGCCTGACATTTCCTGATTTTAAAGTACTGATAATGTCAGATGTGACATCAGCAGGGTAACCAAGATGAGGGGTTTCTTCTAGTATAGGAATGCTTCCTTTTGTATGTTTCAAGATATAAAGGGATTTGTTGAATCTTTTTTCTTTTTTTTTCGTATATAGAGCCGTTTAGTTGTTACATGTGCTAATCAGAAGTGTGAGGAGCTTTTTGTAATTTTCAGTCATCTGTGTAGAGTTTTAGATCCCTCAGCGCAAGTTAGTGGTACTGGCTGGACTCATTCAAGGGAAATTTATAGCCCTATATATAGTCAGTCTCTGCTTGATTAAGATGAGGGTGAGCTTTGTTACTGAATTCATGTACTTTTGAATTCACTAACTAAGTTACATTGGGGGCGGGGGGTTTAAGTTTCACATATGAAGTTCACTGTAAATAAATGTCTCATCTCTCGGAAGCCTAAATGTCTGCTGAGTCTGCTTCCTACCACCTTCCTTGACGTTCGAGTCAGACTACTTCACAGGCTGAACGTGCGTTAATGCGTCATCACGATTAATGCAATGAAAACCTTTAACGCAATTAACCCATCTAGAGCGCAGAATGGACAAACTTTGTACAAACTGGCTGAAATGCGTTGACAGTGACATTTCTGGCATTTTGAGTCATTCTGCACCCTAGATGGGTTAATTACATTAAAAGTTTTCATCACATTAATCGACGGATTAATGCGCGTTAACGTTGACAGCCCTAATAGCTACATTAGATGTTAAAATATATCAGTCACCTCATCAAGGTTATAAAATTAACACGACCCAGGAGAGAGTGTGATTGGTTTGGGAATGATTTTCTTTGATGTGTGCAGTCTTTCATGTGCAGCCCTCAATCATATGCTGGCTCCCTAAACTGACACTCAGTAAATATTAACTCTTAATTCAT